TCTCCGACTCAGATTAAAAATAAATTATTTTAAATATATATATAATATATATATATATATATGATTATCGTATATAAAATTCCCAAAATAAATAAAAATAACTTCAATAAAATAAAATTTTATAAATAATTTTTGAAAGAAAATTAAAATAAAAAACATATTATATTATATTATTTTTAATAAATAAAATTTTAAAATGCACTCAAAAAAATTTATTTTTACCATTTCCATATTATTTATTTATTCTTAATTTTAAGTATAATCGAAAAGAGTGTTGTTGGAGATAAATAATTAAATTAAGAATTTATGTGAAGTAGTTACTCCAAATGATCCTTAGTGCTATTAAGTTTGCAGTGAAATTGCAGCTGCTTGTTATAATGATTTTTGCTTAAAATTAGGTTTTGAACTCTAAGGAGATCTTTTTTAAGCTAAAACTTATTTAAAAGATTCAAATAATTGGTAAAAAATATTTACATGTATGCCTCCTGATTGTACTAAAGTAAATGGTAAATATTGTTCTGACCCAAATCATGTATGTATGAGAAAATTATAATTTGAAGCTGTTTCTGCAACCAATTAAGATTGTTAATGCAGTGATTCCGTTTTTAAAATTTTTACTAATAGAACTCCATGCATTAAAAAAAGCTTAGATTCAAGAAATAATAATTATTAATTTACATCAGGAAAAATCTTATAATTATGCATTTATATGATAGTATCAATGATAATAGTTTGATTAAATAAAATATATATATACATATATAATATACAATTATTAATATATTAATTATTAATCAATCAATTATATGTTTTTATATATTAACTTTTTTATATATTTATTAAAAACTCTAATCATAACATTATATTTTTTTAAGAAAAAAGAAAAATATATATCTTCATTTATAAATTATAAAAACATATTATTTTTAAATATTATTAAATTATTTAAATTAAATATTTATGTTATATACAAATTAAATAAATTAATAATATTTATTTTATTTATATTCAAGTTTTTTATTTAATATTGTATAATGAATGTCATTAATATAATATAACTTATTTTAATTTAAATTTTTACATAGTATATATATATATATTAGTATATATAAAAATTATTATATATATATTATATAAATATATTTAATAATTATTTAATTATTTATTTATATATATATATATATAGATTAATTTATAATATATAAAAACATTTTTTTATCTAAAAATTTTAATAAAAAATAATAAAGTCAGACAAACAATAGATAGAAAAGTAATTAAAAAATTAAAATCGAAATAAATTAATATTTATATATTTAAAATTAAATAAATTATTATTAAAAATATGAATCTATTCAAAAATACCTAGCCTTAAAGCTTCAAAATAAACATACAAAAGGTTAAATTTTAGCCTGTTTATAAGAAGACGAAAATCCCGCAAAATAAAAATACATGCGCTTTTTAGTAATAAAGGCATGGCAAAAGCAAGAAAAAATCGAGAAATTTTACGATAATTTAAACTAAATTTTAACCCAATATAATTTCCAGAATACACTAGTTGTTTTTAAGTCTTTAATTTTAATTCATAATTATATGAAAAAAGCCCCATAGTAGTCCATTAATATTTTAAATGAGAAAAATATATTGTAAAAAATTTATAATCTTTGGTAAAATACTGACTTTTTAAATGATTTTTAAAAAGATAAAAGAAAACCTTTTTATTCATAAATCATTAATTTATATTTACAATTACTTATTTTTAAATAAAATATTTCAATTTAGTTTGTTAAAATTTTCGAAGGAAATTTCTCTTTGTAACCCTTTTTTAATAATTTAAAAGATGAAAATGTCAATTTTAAGCATTTGTCATTAAATTTAGTTGAATAACTACTAAAATATAACAAATAACTTATTTTTTTATGCGAAGAAGTCCAATAATAGACCAATATACCAGTTTAAATGCAAAATAGTATTCTAATATAACTAGTAGATGAAATTTATTGTTTGATTTCTTCTAGTACTCATTTAGTAAATGCATTTATAAATTCAACAAACTATATATAGAAACCTAGCTAGGAAAACAAAATCCGTATAACATCAAAAATCAAAGAAATATAATAACATTTTTAAGAAAATTTCCAAAAGTCTCAATTAATTTTTGAAAAATGTAAAAAAAAGCAAGTAAATAATTTCATACCAAATTTGGACCAAAAAGTAATCGATTTTATAAATAATTTACCTTATCTGAAAGAATATTAAAGTGAGTTTAATATTTACGAATATTTAAATTATTAAAAAGACATACATGGAATAAAAATTCCATTTAGTTACGGAAGCACTATTAATAATAGTTCCGATTATATATAAAATTAATAATAAGAAGATGATTAAAATAAAATAAAAAATATAACAATAAATCAATTAAATGATAGTAAAAATAATAAATAGAAAATAAATAATATTTTTTTGTAAAAAAAATTCAATCGTGTTAAGATTATAATGAGATATAAGAATAAAATGATAATGGATTAGAATATATTTAATAATACTTATAAATAAATGAAAATTAAGATTAGTCAAATAATACAAAAGAAAAATAGGATATAGAATATAATTTTGCTCATTAAACGTTTAATTAAATAGATTATTAATTAAAAAAACATGTAAAAAAGAATAAATGATTAAAAGTAACCAATAATAGTAAAAAATAGTATTTTTGATTTTAATGAATTATGTAATTAATTTAATGATATTAATAAATAAAAAATTATAATAATAAAAATATATCTATTTAAATTTAAACTGTTTAAAATGAAGATTAATTTTAGTAAAATAATTATTAATATTTTTAATAAAATTAATAATATAAATAAATAATCAAATAAAATTAATAATAAATAATATTTTAAAATTAAAATTAAAATATTAATTAAATATAATAAAATAAATAATAAAAGTAGTAAACTTAAAATAGTATATATAATATAAATAAAAATTTATATATACCATAAAATATAACAGATATGAAAAATATAAATAATGATAATAATAATAATAATAATAATAATAATAATAATAATAATAATAATAATAATAATAATAATTATAATAATAAAGTTATTTAATAAAATATTTCTTTTAATATTAATAATAAAAATTAAAATTAAAATATATCCTAAAATTAAATTATTAATAGTTAAATTTGTATTAATAACATAAAAAACAATTAATTTTAATATAATTTCGATAATTCTAATATTGATAATATAAAGAATAGTAATTAAATTAATCGCAATACCAAAAACATAAATTATTATAATATAAATACTTATAATATATTAAATGATAATCGTTAAAATTATAATATAAATAATAAAGTAAATTCAGAAAACCTTATTAATGATATATAAAATAATAATAATAATATTAATAATATAAATAAATCAGAAAATTTAAATAATTAAAAACAATTTGATTTAAATTTTGATTTTATTAAAATTTAGAGAACATAATCTATTAGTCAAAATAATTCTAAAAATTAGCAAAATAATAATTCTTAGATAGATTTATTTGATATGTTAGATAATAATTAATAATAAAATTAAGAATTTTAAGAATTTTAAGAAATAAATAATTAAAATATAAACAATTTTTAAATGGAATAAAATATTGAAAGTAATAAAAATAGTTAAGAAGTAGAAAATAATAATATTTTTGACAATTTTAAGTTTGTAGATTAAAATATTTCTTTTAATAATAATATGAAAATAAATAAAGAATATGAATATAATAACATAAATAATAAAAATATATCTTATTAAAAATATATAGATTAAAATAAATAATAATAATAATTAGAATTAAAGTAAAAGAATTATTAATAATAATAATAATAATAATAAAAATAATAATAATAATAATAATAATAATAATAATTATAATAATATTAATAATAAATTAATACCTAGTAAAATTATTTTTAAAGAGATAATAATTATATCGATAGCCCTAATATTAATATTATATAATTTGTTACGGATAGAATCAATAATTGTGGTATATATTATATTTTATTTTTATATTCTTTTTTATTTTAGATCCTAAATAAATAATTTTGAATTTTAATAATTTAATATTTAATTAATTAATAGGATAAGGTATAGTTTAATAAAAAAATTAATTTTAAAATTATATTTTATAAAGGACATTCTGCAAAAGTTTATTCTGGATTTTATAATAAAATAAAAGTTGCAATTAAATAAATACTAGTAGATTAAATAAATGAATAAAATTTAAAAGAATTTTAAAGAGAAATCGAAACATTTGTTAAATTAAAACATCAAATAAATTTAGTTTCTTTTGTTGGTGTATCATAAAATGAAAATAATTTTTATGTTGTTACTGAATTATGTAATGGTGGATCTTTATTTGATTTATTACATTCTAAACAAAACATATTTTTACCATGGCTATAAAGAATAAAAATATGTAAGGATATAGCTAATGGAATGTAATATTTGCATTCATTTAATCCGCCTATAATTCATAGAGATTTAAAATCATTAAAGTAAAAAAAAAAGATATAGCATAATTATATACATATTAATATATATATATATATATATATATATATATAATATTAAATATATATTATATTTTTCTATATAAATATTTTTTTTTAAACCATTAATATTATATTTTTACTTTTTTAATTTAGATTTTTTTATTTTAAATAATTTAAATTAAAGTCTTTTATTAGATATTCCATATTAAGAAGATATATTTAACTACAATATAAAAATTGCAGATTTTGGATTATCAAGAGCATAATCTCAAAATATAATGACATCAGTTTTAGGAACATTTGTAAATATAATATTTTTGTCAATAATAAAATTTAAAATAAAAGCATTGGATGGCACCTGAAATTTTCGATAATAAAATTTATACTACAAAGGCGGATATTTATTCGTTTGCAGTATATTTTTTTCATAACGAATATAATATTTATATTTATATCTTATCAGATTGTAATATGGGAAATATGTACAAGAAATACTCCATATGTAAATATGTCTACAGTAGAAATTATGAGAAATGTTTGTGATAAAAAAAGGCCATCTTTAAATTTAATACCAAATGATTGTCCTCCTAAAGTTTATAATTTATATTATCATAATTTTTTTAATGTAAATTATCATATTAAATAAAAAAGTTAATTGATATTATGAAAGATTGTTGGGAATAAGAACCTTAAGATAGACCTGATTTTGAGGAAATTTTAGAAAGACTAGAAGAAATAGAAGAATAATTAAGAAATTTTGAAAATAAAAAAAAAATAATTCAAAAATAATAGTAATAATAAATGAATAGTTAAAATATAAATATTTAAAAAAAATAAAACGAATAATAATAATAATAATAATAATAATAATAATTATAATAATAATAATAATAATTATAATAATAATAACATTAATAAAGATAGTTTAATGTAAATTAGTTTTAACAAAATTAAATTTATTAAAATAATTTTTTTAAATGAATTTTTTTTTAATTTTTTATAATATAAAAATTCATTTACTTATTTTATTTTTTAATTACTTTAAAACTAAATTATAATATATTTTTTTTTATTTTCTAAAATTATTTATTAATTTTTTTTTTTAAAAAAAAGTATTTATGAATTTACATTATTTAGATAAAATTATTATTTAATTTATCTTATTTTATTTTTAATTTAAAATTTTAATATCAAAAAGTAAAAATGATTTAAAATTTTTAATTTATTGAAAGATAAAAAATCTTTAATTTATATTATTTTAATAATATTAGAACGAGTTAGATAAAGAATAAAAAAAATACAAATTGAGTATCTATTTATTTTTTTAAATAGTTAATATAAAATAGAACATAATAATTTAACTTCACTTATTTATATAATAATAATGAAAAATAATTATAAAAAATATTTTTTTTTTAACAAATTTTCAATTATTAAAAAATCTTTTGATATGATATTAAAAATGAAAAACAAAAAAATAAAATAATAGTTTTAAAACTATAACTTTTAAAAATTTAAGTATAACATAAAGTTATTATAAATTTAACAACTAAATAATATTTATATAATAAATAATTAATTATATATTATATTATATTTTATTATATTATATTATATATATATAAATATTTAAATATATATATTATAATTATTATTTCTAAATTACAGAAAACCTTAATATATAAATTAAAAAGCATATAATATCAAGTAAATAAAATAAATAAAAAACTTATATAAATTTAAATAAAAATTATAAAGATCTTATAATTTTTACAAAAGATTTCATCTATCTATCAATTTTTAATAAAACATTTATATTTAATTTTTGTTATATTTTAATTTTTTTAGATTTAAAAATTAATTATAATATAAAACAAAACTTACAAATTTTTTATTTTTTTCATAAAATATTATATTAATTTTATAATAAATCAAAACAAAACTTAATAATTGATTTTTTTTATTTTTCTTTATAAAAATTTTTTAAAACAAAATCATATAAAAATGTCAAATTCATAAAATTACATATATCCATATGGTTCAATAACTCACATAAGCGAATCTTCATGTATAAAAATTCTTTCTTTTTACTCAAAAGAAGAGTACAATTAATATTTAGAATTACTAAAAAAGCGTTAAATAATATTAAACCATCCAAATTTGATAAAAATAATATCATATACTAGCTAAAGCATAGGCAATTTTTGTTCTAGTTTTTATAAAATAGATATTTGCTATTAATATGTATCCCAAACTCTTTTTTCTGAAATAATGAAAAAATAAAGTTAAAAAAGTCATTTTAAAATACAGTAAATATATTAATTCTTAGAATAAATGTTAGATGTTTTATTATATATAAATAATAATGGTATTGAAATAAATAGAATAGAACCTAAATCTATTTTATATGAAGAAGGAACTTATTTTTTGAATGATATTTAATAGCTTTAATATGTAAAAAGCATAAACACTATAGAACAATAAATAAATAATGACGAGAAAACTCAAGTTCTATAAATTGCTTTGACGGCTTTGTATATGGTTACTTTTTAAGAAGTTTAATATAGTTAAATTTATACCGAATAAACTAATTTTTAATAAATCGAAAAAATGTTTAATGTAATATATTAGTAATATGAAGATTTTAATTTATATTATTTATTATATAATATGCTTTTATAAGATAGTAATTAGAGGTTTAATTAGCAATAAAGTGTTTAGATTTTGAAACAAATTTAGAATGGGGGATTAGTTATAGAAGAAAATATTAAAAAAGCTTCAAAAAAATAATTTTTTAGTTTATAATTTAGTACAGGAAGTATTGTTATACCTGAAGATATTAATAATAAATAAATCTTTTTTAAAAATAATATTAATTTTAAGGAAAATAATATTAATTTTTAAGAAAAAAATAATAATTTAGATGAGAAAAATGATACTTATAAGAATAAAAGTATTATTTTTGCAGAAAAATAAAAGTAAATTGCAGTATAGCTAATAATAATGATAAAAATAAAATTAATAATATAAGTATATTAAATGATATTAGTATTTAAAATAATATAGATAATATTAATGAAATAAAAATAAAAAATAATGATAATAATGATGATAATAATAAAAGTAATAATAATGATATTAATAATGATAAAAATAATTATGAAAATGATAATGATAATAATGAAAGTAATAATAATGAATATGAAAAAAAAAATAAGAAAATAGATAAGGATAATAATAATAATAATAATAATAATAATAATAATAATAATAATAATAATAATAATAATAATAATAAAAATATTTAAGATATAAATAATATTTAATATAATAATAATTTTTATATAAATAATAATAATATTAATAATGGAATTAAATTTTAAAATAATGCTTTTATATACGAATTAACTTAATAATTACCGACATTTGTTTAGGTCAATTATATTGATTAAGAAAGTAGAAAAGTTAAAGAAAATTTGCTAAAAGATGAACTTTATTCTCCTTCTCTAAATAATTTAGAGTTTTTTAAAAATTTTGATCATTCTTTATAAATAAGTAGCTTTTAATTAGAAGGAAATATATAATATAAAAAACCTATAATGAAATATATTTAAAATTTTAATAAAGTATAAATAAAAAGTTATAAATGAATATATTATTTAAATATAAAATATAAAAATCATTTTTTATTAATTAATTTAAAATTATTAATGAAATAAAATTTATTTTATATTTTAAATTAATTTACAATTTTAATTTATTGTTAATTAAAATCATATTATTATTTGTATTTTTTTTCAATCGTTAATTAAGCTTTTTAATTTTTTTATATTTAATTAACACGATGTTACAAAAAATAAAAAATTTATAATATAGAAAACTAAATAAAAATAATTATAATTTAAAATATTATAAATATCTAATTTTTTATTATTAAAATTATTAATCTTAACTATTGTTAATATGTATTAAATTATTATAAAAAATAGATAAAAGCGATTTCAGATTAAAATACAATTATTAAATTTAAATTTAAAAATAAAATTATATATGTTAGGTGTATATAATTAAATATTTGAGGTAAATATATATGTATATATGTATATATGTATATATGTATATGTATATGTATAT